GGGGGGGGGGGATTCGAAAATATATTGTTAATACGGGGGGAGTGATTGCATCTGAAATGACCGAGAAAATTTGTACAAGAAAATGTTTTGCATGATTGCTTCAAAAATCCCGTCTTGAAATGAAAGGGTATTTTTAAATGGAATATACGTTGAATACATCGGAAAATTTCATTAATGGAGAAGAGAATGCGAACGAATTGGCTGAGGAAGATGTTGATTTGGCAAACACATTTGAACGCTTGGTCGCCATAAGCGACTACGACGCGAAGGACGAAAGCCAGCTCTGTTTCAAACGCGGTGAAAATATCCGAGTTTTGGAAAGGGTTAACGACGACTGGCTGTGGGCCGATATCGAAGGGGTTTTGGGATACGTGCCAGCAAACCACACGGAACATCCAGATAAATTCGAAGAGATGGAAAAATGGCAAGATGAAGAATATTTCGAAAGTTATTGCCATATGCGCTTGCATTTAGAAATGTTGGGCGACATTGCGAGGACCGAAGCTTACCGTAAAGCGGTTGCTATGAACGCGGATTTTGTCCGCGGGAAAACGGTACTGGACGTGGGTTGTGGTAGCGGCATCCTGAGCATGTTTTGTGCACGAGAAGGACAAGCAAAACACGTTTATGCAGTGGAGGCTAGCAGCTTGGCAGATCATTTGCCTGGGGTACTGCAAGAGAATAATTTAGAGGATCAAATTACAGTCTTAAAGGGACGGATTGAAGTGATTACACTACCTGAAAAAGTCGACATCATTATATCCGAGTGGATGGGGACATTTTTACTGTTCGAATACATGATTGATTCTGTGATATATGCTCGCGACCATTGGCTAAAAGCTGGTGGTACAATGTGGCCCACCTATGCGCAACTGTTTATTTCTCTGTGCACGATGCCAGAGTTGTACCAGCAGAAAGTAGGCGTGTGGAAACAGCAATATGGTTTCAGCTTTTCAACCTTGAAGCCAAAAGCGGTCGAAGATTTTTTTAGCCGACCAATCATCGACTACGATTTGTTGCCGAGTAATTGTTTATGCGATGGTCAGCCACTTGTGTCGCTTGATATGAACACCCTTCAGGTTTCTGAACTTGAGTCGTGGTCGTGCAATATTAAATTTGAAGTTCGAAAAGCCGGCATTGTTCACGGCTTTGGTTCATGGTTCGATGTTGAGTTTCATTCACCAGCAAACAATTTGAGTGACATTGAATGTACCACTAAACCAGTTGTGCTTTCGACCAGCCCGGATGCTCCCAAAACCCATTGGAAAAATGCCATATTTATGCTTGACGAACCGTTAGAAGTTCAAGAGGGTGATTTTATCGGAGTCACGATAAAAGTACAAAGAAATGAGAATTTCAGAAGACATATGTGCATTTGTTTTGAGCTCAGTATCGCTGAAAAGAAAGGCAAAACAACACACAATATTTGTAAAGAATTTAAACTGTGGAGATGAGTAATGTACAAATAAATTAAGGGCCTGTTCAAATTAGTCCAGCTAACCAGGGAACTCACCTGAACGAGACATGCCGTCTGCATGTAAAAGGGCAATTTCACGTTGCGGACATTACATTCACAGAAAAACAATTAATACAAAACATGCTCTGTTTCTTGTTTGCAACAGTTTCAGATTTGGGAACTTTGTCATAGAAAACCATAAGGGGACCTCTTAAGATTTCATAAAATAAAACAAAATTCCCTCGTAATCAATTCTTGTAATAAAAAGTCAAAGTACTGTTGCGGACATTACAGCAAAATCAACCACACATTGAAGTGATGTTTTTAAAATGTAATTTCCTGTGAACTTTGAAAGGTATCAAAGGAACTAAAACACTTCCTGCTCTCAGTGATAATTGGGGTTAAAAAATATGAAAACGAGATGTTCTACAATGCCCTTGCGCAGCCTTTATAGTGCAAAGTTTGTGTTGCGGACATTACACTGAAACTGTTGCGGACATTACATTTTTGGGATTGTATAGCAATCTGTATTAAAAATGATAGGAAATCAAAACTGGGTGACTGATTATGCACTTCAATGTTTCTAGTCCACATAACAGGCATTCTAGCTTAATTCTATTTACATTTGTATACCCATGGGCGTACCGGGCGAGGGGGGGGGGAGGCAGCTCCCGCTGCCCAGTTTGTTGGGCAAACAAAGCCAGTCGGGCAATATTCGCTTCACACTTGGGCAATATTGGCTTATTATAAAAATAAATGGGACAAATTCTGTCAATTTTGTGGGGAATTCTGTCAATTTTGTGGGAAATATGCTATCTATCTAATAGGAATTCTTCGTAATCACTAGTCCCCCCCCCATCGACAACAATTTTGGAAAGTTTCTCCGGAAATTTTTTTAACAACGCGGGCACAATCTGAAAAAGTCAGGCAAATTTCTTTCCTCCCCCCTAATTTTTTCCTTCCTGTATGCCCATGTGTATACCACCATAAATCCTGGGATGAAATCATGGTCACATATATTACAGTATATAATCTTCTGTTGACAATAATATCTTTCAAAAGTGCAATATTTGTTGCGCATAGACTCAGGCAATGACTCGGGTTGTGCAGCAAATAAAGTGTC